TGCAACTACAGGCACCTACTACCACGCCTGGCTAATTTTTCTATTTTTAGCATACACAGTGTCTTACTTTGCTTAGGCTGGTCTTGAACTGCTAAGCTTAAGCATTCCTCGTGCCTTGGCCTCCCAGAGTACTAGGATTTACAGGCTTGAGCCACTGTGCCTTGTGAAAAGGATATATTTTTTAAGAGATGATGCTGGCATAATTGACCATGCATTTAGAGGAAAATAAAATTGGACCTTTCCTATACCACTTATAGAAGAAATTTCCAGATGAATATAAAATTTAAATACTTATTTTTATTTTTTTTTTTTTGAGATATAGCCTCAAGCTGTCCCCCTGGGTAGAGTGCCATGGCATCACAGCTCACAGCAACTTCCAACTCCTGGGCTCAAGCCAGTCTCCTGCCTCAGCCTCCCAAGTAGCTGGGACCACAGGTGCCTGCCACAATGCCCAGATATTTTGGGGTTGCAGCCGTCATTGTTGTTTGGCGGGCCAGGCTGGATTCAAACCTGCCACCTTGAGTGTATGTGGCTGGTGCCTTAGCCACTTAAGCCACAGGCACCGAGCCTTAAATACTTACTAAGTGTAAAGAATTAAATGATTACCTTACAGGAGAATCTGAGAGACTACATGTTCACATTAGGGTTATGTTTTCAAACTTTTAGACTAAGATTTATAGTAGAAATGTATTTTACATTGTGATGCAGAACATATGCACATATTACAAATGAAATAGGTTTCACAGAACATTCCTTACCTTTACTGTGTGTGATGTTCTTATCATATATCCTATTCCATATAATTAAAAACAAATATTGGCTTGGCACCTGTGGCTCAAGTGGCTAAGGCCCCAGCCACATACACCCAAGGTGACGGGTTCGAATCCAGCCTGGGCCCACCAAACAACAATGACGGCTGCAACCAAAAAATAGCCGGGCATTGTGGCGGGCACCTGTGGTCCCAGCTACTTGGGAAGCAGAGGCAAGAGACTCGCTTGAGCCCAGGAGTTGGAGGTTGCTGTGAGCTATGATGCCACAGCACTCTACCCAGGGAGACCGCTTGAGGCTCTATCTCAAAACAAAACAAAACAAATATGACCCACTATATTTCTTGTGACCCATAGTTTATAAAACAATGATAGTAGGTATGGGAGGGAGCAACATTATAAGCTGCTCTAAAATCTAGAAGGTATAAAGCGAAAGTAAATATTTGGTTAGAACAATTACATTTCATTTAGTATAAATAAATAATGCTGATTTCTGGCAGGAGTGGGTGTGGTGAAAGTGGGGAAGGGATCTCATCTGTTCGTAACGTCAGTGAGAATTGTTAAAGTTATTTTGAGGACCCAATTTGGTAAAACCTAATAACGTTAAAAATTTATATATTCTTTGATCTGGAGTTTCATTGTTTGGAACTTATTTCACAGGAACAAAAAGGCCACTGCTTAAAGATATATGAACAAGCATGCTTATTGCATCATTATTTCCTGGTGACAAGGAAGTGGGGAATGAAGTAAAGAGAAGACAGCTTGAGTAAAGTATGTCACACCCATGTCATAGAATATTATGCAGCCATTAAAAAGAATATTAGTTGGAAGGATAGTCATGAGGTACTGCTGAATGAAAAAATAAGATAAAGGCCGAGCCTGGTGGCTCTTGCCTATAATCCTAGCACACTGGGAGGCTGAGGCGGGTCGATTGCCCTTAGTTCAAAGGTTAAAGACCAGCCTGAGCCAGAGTGAGACCCTGTCTCTACCAAAAAAAAAAAAAAAGATAGGCAGGCGTTGTAGTGGATGCCTGTAGTCCCAGCTACTTGAGAGGCTGAGGCAAGAGAATTGCTTGAGCCCAAGAGTTGGAGGTTGCTGCAAGCTACAATGCCATGGAACTCTACCAACGGCTACAATGTGAGACTCTGTCTTAATTTAAAAAAAATAAAAGAGAAAAAAAAGAAAATTAAAAAAATAAATTTCAAACTAAGACAATTGAAAGCAAAATTAAAAAAAAGAAAAAACAAGATAGAGAAATATATGCAACTCTGGCTATGCTTGTATATAAATTTTTATTTATTTGTTTATTTATATATTTGAGACAGAATCTCTATCACCCTGGGTAGAGAGCTGTGGCATCATAGCTCACAGCAACCTCAAACTCTTGGGCTCAGTTTTTCTGTTTTTAGTAGAGACAAGCAAGGTCTTGCTCCTGCTCAGGCTGGTATTAGACTACTGAACACAAGCAATCCACCCACCTTGGCCTCCCAGAGTGCTAGGATTACAGGTGTGAGCCACTGCACCCAGCCCACCTCAAAGGCATTTCATCTTTAAGGCTGGCCCTTTCATCACATGGAGTATCTGCCTAGGGAAGTAATTATTTTGGTTAAGGAATGAAGCTAACCAAAAAATGAAAGGGGTAAAAAAACTCTAAAACAAAACAAAAATCTCTGTAGTATAATATTCATGTGCAGTTATATAAGACTATGTAGTAGGTGTATGTTTACTGTACATATACTGTATATGCATGCACTATGTGCATATACATGTGTTTATATGTGTATACATGTTAATTAAAAAGGATAAAACGTGGTTTAGGAATAACTTGTCTCCTGATGGTAAGGGCCCCCTATCAGCAGAGCTTTTTCCTTTTTCTCCTTCCATTTTTAAGAGTATTTTTTTTTTTTTTTTTTTTTTTTTTTTT